AACAACCAGCCACAAATCATTCTATGCCAAAAAAGCTTAAATAGAGTGGCTTCTCTCTCACATGCGCACACACAGAGCAGTAAGAAAGCAAAATGTTACCACTGTTTAAAGAGAAAAAGACCTGTGGTTTGCGCATGAACGCCAGCCTCCTATCTTGATGAAATCCGTATTTAAAACCTATGCAAATGATATGCGTGCACGTGTACATGTATCCATTAAATGCTTCTTCCAAAGGGGAAATGGTGCCTGTAAAAACACATGAGAAGTAAAGAGTTTGTGGAGGCACCGGAAGATGATGATGTATTTCTGCATTAGGTTTTAAAACTTCATTTTGCAGCTACCTGAAGTTAAGACAAAGCTGCCTTTAGGCATCTCAAACTAGTCAGACCTGCTGTAGCAGTTGCAGTCTGCTTCAAATATGCCCTCCACGCTCCTTTCAACCTCCACCCCAACATATATCCGCATAGTTTACCTCCAATCATGGGTGGTTCTTTCTATAGCGCAGTTCACTCAACCTTACTGCCTGGCATGACAGGAGATTTTTAAAGAGTAATGTTACGGGCTGCTATAAGAAACTGTATGAAAACAGCTGATAACTGTCACGTTTCCATTAGAGGTGAGCATGGCCCACACAGCACAAGGGTTTTCCAGTGGGATGGAAAAACCTAGGATCAAGAAAACAGCCTAATTTGTCACAGATCATCCAAGCAAGTTTTAGGGAGAGTTTAGATCTTTCCACCACCTCTGGGTTCCTTTGAAAAGGGAACTTCTTTCTTCTGCTACTCCCATATACTGCCCAGTTTTAAAAATAACATTAAAAGGAAACAATCCACATTTGCACTTCAGTCTTTGTATTCTGCCTTATTAAGAATACAATTTTTATTTGAGCTTCACTAGAAAAAGAAGCTGTCGGATGAAATCCAACACATCTTACTGGTGTGAAAACAAAGTAAACAGGCTTTGCCTGCTAATAATTACACAGACTTGAGACTCGTGTCATTCAATACCACTTAAAATTCAATTACAGAGCAATATTAACAAGAAATTCCTCTTTAAGCCCCCTGCTCCTCAAAACACTGATCATGTATATAGGTTGGGAACTTCAGATTTTATATAGCAACACCTATAGTTTTACGTACCAGGCAGCATACTGAACCCAGCCCCTTATTTGGAAGAATAATGGTCCGAGCTTGCCTAACGCAGGACTCTGAGCATGGTTTTAATATCACTGCAGCAGCCTGAATCCACACTCACTCTGATGTGGTGGTGGTGGTGGCTGCTGTCCCACTTGAGCTTGCAGAGTCTCCGCCCTCAAAGAAGGGACACGTGAAAACTAAAAACTTGCTGTTTGGTGAGGTGACAGCTCCTCCAGTCCTTTCAAGCCATGTTACTCCTCATCACGAAGTCAAGCTGCTTCTGAAGGCCGATGGGCTGTACCACCAGCTACCCAATGCCCCTGCAGACTGCCCCAACTCTCCCCTGGAAATGCCCCTCAGATCAGCTCTTCCCCACTCAGGAATTCCCCTCTGTGCAGGAGGAATCTCCCAACTGTGGGTTGAGTGCTTCTTCACAGCTCCTCCTGGCCACTTCGCAATGACACCAAGCATCTCACACGTTCATCAGGAGCCATCAGTGCAGCAAAGGTCGCTGTGCAGTTTCTATTCTACACAATGACACACCATTTCATTACCATGCAGCCCCAACCAAGACTGAGGGTAGGGACCCTGCTGTGATGGATGCTTTACAGCCACAGCACACACACAGGCCCGTTGCTTCCACAAAACCTCTGCCACACGTTTCTGGATTCTGTTTTGCTTGACTTCAGCTCATCCAGCAGCAAAGTGAGCACTGCATTTACAGAGCTCTCTTTCCCCACTTGTGGTGAACAGTCAGCATTGTTATCTTATTTTTTTGTTATAGTGTTTGCACTGGTAATGCTGAGCAAACCTGAAGCCTCCACTACAGCAAACACAAAAAATAAGACTTTGTTTAGAGAAGAATTAAAGAACTAACACATGCTGGGGGGGGTCCTCTCTCCATTTACAGAAAACAGGCACTTATTCCTGACAGCACAGTTGCCCTGACTGATCGAATTTAGAAATGCAACCAATGGCACAAAACATGCAATTATATCCCCCTGAAGCAAATGAGTGCTGTTCTGAGATTGGCAAATTCCATTTTCTACAAACCATTAATTAGCAGGAGATTCATCTACGCTCAAGATCTGTGCTTACTGCCAACCTGCTTGCATTTAAGCTGGACCTTGCTCTCTCCTTTGGAACACTCCTGATCTTTGGACTTGGTAACTGAGAGTTGCCTTTTCTGGCACTGATTTGGGTGCCTGTTACAAGGAACTGTTGCAACTGGAGCTCTCTCTTCGTGAAATGGTTACACATATAAAGCAGAGTAAAAAGACAGCGTCTCTCCTGCTACCCAGCCCTTGTAAAAGTAGATCAGCAGAAAACTACTTACACTTTCAAAGTACTGCATTCCCCTTGACAGATTACACTTTAAGATGTTACATAAAAGCAAAAATAGTCACAAGTATTTTGGATCACCTGTCTAGTGTTAGCACTGCTGGAGACAAACTGTGCCAAGAATGTTTTACATCAGTGCGAAAAAAGAAGTCAGAGTTCCTAAAAAAATTCTTTTTCCCTATGAATTATTTATTGGAAAAATAAAAGCAGCTTCTGTAAATGATGGCAAAATCCCCTTCAAAACAGATATTGCATAAGATCTGTTGTACTTCATGGAAGCTAGGAAAAAAATACAAGACTATGAAATTTGATGTTTTCCTTGATACTAGGACATTATTTCAAATTCCTCAATGCCTCTCAGGCAGACAATTTGAGTGCTTGGATTATTTACATTATTATTTCCACCAAAACAGAGAAACTCCTTATTTCATCTTTCCCATTAAAATGAACAGGTGTATAAAGGAATACAATTACAATCCTTTATAAATCAGCACCTACAGACACATTTAATGCTCTTTTAAGACTGCTTCTCCTACAGACAAAACCTGAAGTACCTACGGCTAGCAAGTTTCTTTCTGTTTGTTTTTAACCAGCTTCAGAGAATAAGAAATCAGCTTGACAGGAAAATCAAAGCAGCGTCTTAACATGCACAAAGTCTAGCTTCATTCGTTAGCAGTCCAATCCAGTTCCTGCAGGAAAGGAGTGGGTGGTTTTTGCTACCAACTTAAATGGAAGTAGGATCAGTCACGAAAGGAGGAAGAGCCACAGCTGCTACGTTAGATGCTGCAATACTTGCCTGGACAATGGAAGGATTCCCTAGGACACATTCTGGGATACCTGTCTGGCAGCACAAACGGCTAATCCTCCTCCCATCTCCTACTACCACCACCACTAGCTCATTATGGTAAATCAGATTCCAAAGATACCATCTTATTATGTAAAAAACGTATGCCTTTTAACTTCAAGCCGAAAGGGCTACTTTCAGTTTACCCTGCTTAATCGACTGCTTCATTTCTACAGCAATTTAAGCACAAGCAGCGGCAACTTTTAAGAAAGCACAGTTAATTCCTACAGTTCTTTTTACCACGTGAAAGCTTCCCGTGCACTTAGGTGGAAAATGAGGTGCCTCAGTCAATTTTGTACCCTGCGAGAAGCCCGTAAGACACAGGCACCTTCATTTGTGCAGTTGAATACCCCAAAAGAAATCGGAATAAAGAGGTGGGAAGTGTAATTTCAACTCGCACAAACAGAACTGTTTATTCCATTCGAGAGACACGAGCATAAAACTGTTGTTAGGGGGCAGCCAAGCCCTCTACCACCATTGTTCGAGCAATAGCGTGTTCTCCGGTGGCCAGATCCAGCACCCACTGACGGCAGCGAGAGCCACCCCGCTGACTTCACCGGGCACTAGCTCAAACTGCCTGGACTTTTCCTGATCCCGGGAGCTTTGGGCTTGTCTGGACACAGACTGACACATGCAACCGCTTTGGTGCGCTGCGCTGAAGTTGGGGTGAAGGGGCTAAGCCCCCCCCCCCCGATGGAGATGAATTGGGCAGATTCGCTTTCTTTTACACGGGCAGCTGACCCGTAGCTGTAAATCAGCCACCAAAGGGTCCCAGGGGGACAGCATGCAAACCCCTCCCGAGATTTTCAACGCAAGTGGCCCCGGGTTTCCCAGCTGTGCCTCACAAAACGCAAGGAATGACAGCAGGTAACCGCACTCGCTCTTTCCACGCTTAGACAGAACGTACATTCCCGGATCCTGACACACTGACACGAATAAAGCAGCAAACGCTCTAAATGAAAGCAGCACCGCAAAAGGACCTTTTCCAAGTATTCCCCCATCCTGAAGGAAATCCCAATAAACGGGGGCACTGCTTCTAAATGCACCCCAAACGCCTGTTTCTCCGTTTTGGCACTGCTCCCAAGGAGGAGGGCACAGCCACGCTAATTCCTGCCCTGCTGCCGCCCCAGCACCAACCCTGGAAGGGTCCGGCCAGCGGGGCCATATGTCAGCTTCGCTCCGGCGGAGTCGCAGCCTCCCCCAAGCCCTTTTAGCCCTCCCGGCCCCACAGCACACACTTTTAAGGGTAGCCCGAAGCCCCCGCTGCTCTTGCCTGGGTAAACGGAGGCACGGCTGCAGCCGCCTGGCTCCGAGGCGCACACGTTCACTTACCGGGGTAAGGCTTCGAGTCAGGTGTAGCACGGCTCTTCGGAGCACAACCTCCCAGCACTACCGGGGCCGGCACAGCAGCCCCGATTAAAAGTATATTCCAACTCCACGCACGCACCTGCTCCAGCCCCGGGATCCCCGCACATCGGCGGCGGGAGGAGGAAGGGGGATGTAGTATTTTAAGGATCAACTCTCCCTCCTCTGCTCATCTCAGCACGGAGGAGAGGGGGAGGACGCCCGCCCGGGTACGAATTTAAAGGTAGAGATAAAACCAGCCCCGATGACTCGCAAAGCCGAGGTGGGGGTCACGAACCCCCGCTCCCCCCTTGCCGCCCCCCAGCTCTACTCACCACATGCAGCTCCACCTGAGAACTAACGCATGGAGGGGAGGGGAGGTCGCAAACTCTCGCCCTAGAGCAGCTCCATATGTCGCTCCCTCGCCGCGCCGCTCCGGGGAGGGGCCGGGTGGGATGCGGAGGAGAACGAGGAGGAGGAGGAGGAGAAGAAGGAGGAAAAGGAGGAGGAGGCAGGCGCAGGCGGCGTGAGGATTTAAGCCTCCGCTCTCCCCCGGCGGCTGCGATCACGCAGCATTATACAATGGAGGAGGAGGAGGAGAGGGAGGAGGCACCAGCCCCAGCTCCCAGCACTTGCCGCCAGCACTGACGACAGGGGCGGCTCCGGCGAGCTCCTCGCCCTCCGGCCCGCGTTAAAGCCCCGCCTCGGCCCCGGCCCCGGCCCCGGCCTTCCTCCCCCCGCATCCCCCGCTGCTGCTGCTCCTCCTTCTGCTCCCGGCTCCCTGCGCTGCCCACCCGTGCCCCGACCGCGGGGGTTCCCTGGGAGCGCTGGCCCGGCACAAAGGCGGGTGCCAGCGCGCCCCGACCGCAAATATGACAAGTATCCCTGCGATCCCCGACCAGGACCCCGCCGCGCTGCCCCCCCCCCCCCGGGTCGGACCGGTCATAGCCCCCCTTCCCCAGCCATCTCCCGGTCGGGCCAAGCGGAGCGGGGAGGGATGCAGGAAAGCCGGGGCGCTGCCTGCCGCCCCCCGCCCCGGGAGCTCACCTGGGAGCCGAGGGAGGCGGCGCCCCCCTCCGCGGGATCCTCGGTGCTAATTTGGGCTGTGCAGGCACCACCGAAGCACAAAAATGAGGCCAAACGGAGATGCTGGAGAGCACGAAGACCTGGGGGGAGGGAGTGAGAGCTCGGCACCAGGCGCTGTCTGGAAAGAAGATGATTATTTTAAGTTACCTCCGATGATTGTGTTTGGAAGGGGGCTGTAATCTCAGGCGACGATGTGAACACCTTCCAGTTTTGGCTGCAGCCCCAAAGGCATCTCGGATCATTACCAGCCTTTGATGTCCCACTAAACCGGTTGTATTTCGGGACAATAAAGCTTTAAGACCTAACATAAAGGCGATTATTAGTCATTAATATCACGACTCGTTTAGGTATTATGCTCAAAATGGCCTGTAACGATTCGCGATCAATCAAGCTGATGGTCTTGTTCGAAATTAAGTTCCATTTTCAGCTAGAAAACTGTAAAGGAAAAGGAAGGGAAGATTTCCTTAACCTGGAAATTGTATCTCTCAAAAATCCACAACGGGGGAAAAAAAAACAAACTGGTGAATCTGCCAAAACAGAAAGAGATAAAGGGATGATTTTATGGATTTTTAAAATTACAATTGAAAAGACCCCATCTAGTTGAGTTTTAAACACCAAGACTGGTATTTCAGGTAATATTCTGCTGAAGTCACTGCAGTGGGAGGAAAGGGCATCACATCTAAAAACCACCCTTTGACTTTGCCACTTCTGGAGGCCTGGGCACCCCTTTCCCTTCCACTTCTGCTCAGCCATTCCTTTGAGGAGATCCAAACACCCTCAGCCTCCCTTTGCCTGCAGTAAAGAGGGAGCCCAGAACCAGATCTGCAAAACAATTCACGAACCATTTACTGCCTTTTGACGAGTGACTTACGAATTGCTCCAGAGCTGGCAAAAATTAAAACCAGAATTTCAGCCGGCTGGATTCTTTCCAGCAGCAAGGCTCTGAAACGCGGTCCTTCTACTCAAGGAAACAAACATCTTGAAATTACAAGTCATATTAAAAATGACTAAATAGAAGGAAAAGATTCCTTTTGTTTCAGGCCTGAGTGGTGCCTGTTCAGTGGGCTTCAGCCTACTCAAAAGCCACCCAGAGTATTTGTAATACCTGTACATGTTTAGTGATAGGAGGAGGAGGAATGGCTCTAAACTGCAAGAGGTTTAGGTTAGACATCAGACCCCGTGAGGGTGGTGAGGCCCTGGCACAGGGTACCCAGAGAAGCTGTGGCTACCCCATCCCTGGCAGTGCACAAGGCTAGGCTGGATGAGGCTTGGAGCAGCCTGCTCTAGTGGAAGGTGTCACTGCCCGTGGCAGGGGGTTGGAACTGGATGAGCTTTAAGGTCCGCTTCCAACTCAAACCATTCTACGGTTTTTGGCAGAGGTTTTTCTTTCTGAATGCTGGATCAATTGAATTTCAGGGCCACATTCTGCCCTGCTTCACACCAGATTTGTAACACAGCAGGATCTGGCCTTGCGTAACCGCTCTATGGATGCACCCAGATGAACCTTCTGGAGCTCAAAGTCCGCAGCAGGTTTGCAGTCCCAGTGCCTGGGTGTGTGCACACTATCACTGGCACCATAGGCACAACCACAAGCATTTGCTAAATAAGCAGCTGGGCTCCAGTCTAATATCCAAGGCCCTGATCTTGCCATGTTACACTCAGCAGTAAAAGGCCTGAGCCTGCATCGTCTGTTTTAAATGCTTCTGACTTTGTTCGGTTGCTCCAATTTTACACGAGCATAAGAGAAAACTCACCGCCCCTTCTGTTTCCTACTGTAACTCCCCTGGGCCTTTCTTGGCAGGAGTTTATAGTCACGCTGTAACTGGGATTATTCCTGCGAACACAACTAGTACAACCTGCATCCACACTCTGAAGCACTCTCAGCTGAGCACAGGTCACAATACCGATCAATACGAGTAGAGCTCCTTCCTCTGTCTCGCACACAGCAGAGGCTCCATCGTGGCGGGGTGAGGTTGAGCTATGCAAGGTGAATAATCCTACCACTGACTGCTCCTCAGATTGCCTCCTACCCGATTTAACGAGACCTTGCTGGCCTCGAAACTCCGTTCTGCAGCTCCAGAGTGATCTGACCAGAAGGTGTCTGCAAGGCCCAAACACAGTTTGCCCAAACATGTTAGTAAGCACAGAGAAACAGCCTGCAACTGAGCCACGAAACGCTGTACGAGGAAGTGTGTTGGCAGAGGCAAGAGCCTGCAGGAGAGGGGAAAAAGTCTGCATGTCTGCGAGGAGGAGCTACCCAAAAGGCATCCCATTTGGAATGGTGCTTCCTGATGAGCAGTAGCACAGATGTAATTTTGCAGTCATAGCCTTGACACAGACCCTCGCCCGTGAAGGCCACACACTGAAAGAGAAGGAGCCTGACTGCATTTTTCTACACTGGTACTGACCTGATATGGGCCACAGGCACAGTCTAAGCACGGCCTTGTCTGTGAGCTAGGATAGTCAAAGCTTGCCTGATTAAGGCCATGTCTCCTGTACATCATCCCAAACCCTTCTGTGTTAAACAAATGAAATAACAAAGACTGGAAAGACTGGGAGGGGGGAAACAAGCACCAGACTTCATAGGGCAGTTTATCAGAGCTACTCTGGACTTTTAGGTAATCTCTGCCTATCAACACGTGTACTAATTAGGAAAGAGTAGCAACATTTGGTGTGCTGGAACATTGACATCCCTCATGTTTTTTGAGTAAAGAGGCAGTGAACTGCTTCCTACGTTTCTAATTGTATCCTTGGCCTTTTTTTTCTAATTGCAGTACACATTAACACTGAGATTTCATCAGGTAATTGTATAACACATCTTCATTTTCTCCCTGGATGTTTTTGCTGCAGTGCATGCAGGAGCTGGCAGGCAAATACCCAGTACTGCCCCCAGAGCACACAACTGTTTGCAAATAAAGACCCCACCATCACCTGTAACTTGTGGCCAGGAGAGCCAACACTATCCTGGGGTGTACTGGGAGTACTGTGGCCAGCAGGTTGAAGGAGGTGATCCTCACCCTCTATTTGACCCTGGTGAGACCACATCTGGAGTCATCTTTCCTCAGTACAAGAAAAACAAGGAGCTATTGGAGAGGGTCCAGCCAAGGGCCACAAGGATGCTCAGGAGTCTGGGGCATCTTTCTTATGAGGACAAATTGCAGGAGCTGGGCCTGTTTAGTCTGGAGAAGACTGAGCAGGGATTTCATTAATGCATATAAATATCTCAAAGACAGGTGCCAGTAGGATGGTGCCAGATTCTTTTCAGTGGTGTCCAGTGACAGGATGAGGAGCAACAGCCATAAACTACAACACAAGAGGTTCTACCTCAACATAAGGAAGAGCTTCTTTATGTTGAGGGTGGCAGAGCACGGGAACAGGCTGCCCAGGGAGGTTGTGGAGAACCCGCCTGGACACGTTCCTGTGTAACCTGCTCTAGGTGGCCCTGCCTTAGCAGGGGGTTGGACCAGATGATCTCCAGAGGTCCCTTCCAACCCTAATGATTCTGTGATTCTGTGAAAAGCATAACAAAGGACCTACATACAGCCAAGGATGCTCCTTCCACCAGATCCCCACTGAGGAACCAAGGTCTTACAGATAAGACGAAAGCACGCTACAACCAAAGGCATGTAAACATTAAAACCTTGTGCCATCCCTGTTCAGGCCAGCTCTGGAGTCAGTACTGACCTTCTAGAGCAGGGCCCTTCTTATGCAAGGCTCAGCCATAGATAAAAGCAAGGCCCTCAACAAAAACAAAGTGGGGTACTGCATTACTGCACTCTGCACCTCTATGTTAGCAGGGAGGAAGCTGCACATTGAGATTTCAATTGCCTTTTTGCCTTTTTTCACTGGTGAAACTCTCCCACTGTAACAAGGCTGCCCCACACATCCCAACGCACAGGAATCAGGTAAAAGCAAAGGAAGGAAAGCTTCCCCTTTCCCACTCCAATTTTAGCTCTTCTTTTCCCTTTCATTTTCTGTGTTAGTTCATGTTTTTCTCCTTTAATGTTTTTGTGGCAGTAGGAGAAACACCGTTCCCTAGAATGCATAATATGCTTAATTATCATTCTCCGTTAGTTCTCTAGGAAAAAAAAAAAACCTACAGGAGAAATCAGTTTAATTAATGAGTATGACCAAATGCAGCCTTAGTTCTAATGCAGTATCATATATTATACGTCCAGTTGGGCAGTTGGTCTTACTTGGGTAAAATGAACAGAGATGCAGAAAACCATGGAGCTCATGAATCAATATTCTCAGCGCAACTAACCCCTTTTGTACAGTTATTCTAAGCCTTCCTACAGATTTCGATGCCAGCGTCTGTTCCCAAATACTGCTTTTGGCTTCAGTAACGCAGGATCGGGCTCGTACAGTCTAGTAATAGAAAGCTGTTGCTTGGCAGTACCAAGGGTTGTGCCACATGGTAAATTCATTAAGTAATTAAGAGAAAAAACACAACAACCTAAACTCCAAGATAGGTCTGAAATAGTCAAATACCCAGTAAGAGTCCCCAGTGTGTGTCAAGGACAAGGGTGGCAAGGTTTCATCTGAAAGTAGGACTTGGTGATTTAGATGCTTTTCAAAAGGGCTACTCCTCACATACTAAATTATTAAGGAAATATTATGGAACAGGATTATCAGGAAAGGGAAAAAAAAAAAGAAGCAGTGTGCATTAGCTGGCTTAGTCAGAGGAGGTTTTGCTGCATTCCTCATGCAGGGAGATGACTCCCTCCCTCTGTAATTCCCTGTGCACTCCCAGTCCTCTGGAGACTGCTGGTGTGCATCATCCTCACTCCAGCTGAAACATTCTGTCCTGACAGAGGTTCAGGCTGCCTACCATTGCTGTTTATCTTCTTACATCTTTTTGCCTCTTCTAAATAGCTATGTTCTTTGCCCAAATCCCATTCACACTGTACCACCTGCAAGATGTACTTCAGTTCTGAACCAGGCCAGACTGCTCACACCAATGCCATTTGTACGGTACACAGGCTTCTCTACAGTCTCCCCTTTCCACTCATGCTTCTCGAGACAGTGGATTGTACTTTGCATTGAGTTGAGTTTTAAACACTTTCAGGCTGCTTTTCTTTCCCTTTCAGATTCTGCTCTGCAGTCTCTAGCAACAGC